ACACACACACACACACACACACACACACACACACACACACACACACAAATCCTTAAATCAAGCAATGACTTTAAAGCTCTATTTGAAAGGCCTCCAGCTTCTTCACACAGAGTTCCAAATTGATGCATCCAAGAATCACCAGGATAAGAGTTGAAATGTGTTATTTCAGGGCAGCTGATGACTCACAAAGCTGGAACACCTACTCTCCAAACTAGGCATGGGGAACACTGTCAGAGGGAGTCAAAAGGCCCACAGTAATAAATACTATTATTAACATCTATAAGCCTGGATACCCCAAAGCTCCTCCAAGCCATTCTGAGACAGAATAGACTGAAATCCTAATTCCTCCCCCTTCTTTCCCTCCTCCTCCTGGAATGAAAAATAACACATTTCCATTTGTCCAATTCAACATTTATTTAGTGTTTCTGTGATTCAGACTTGCTCTAAGTTCTCTACAGGACACAAAGCTGAACGAGACCAAATGCCCTTCCTCCATGAGACTCTCACAGAAGAGCTGGTCACCCCCTGTATTCATTTCCTGTGGCTGCCATAAGAAAGTACCACAAACTGGGTGACTTTCAACAAATTTATGTTCTCCCAGTTCTGGAGGCTTGGAGTTCAAAATCAAGGTGTCAGCAGGGCAATGCTCCTCAGAAGCCCCCAGAGGAGAACACTTCTTTGTCTCTTCCAGCTTCTGGTGTCTCCTAGTATTCCTTGGCTTGTGGCCACGTCACTCCAATCTCTGCCTCCATCTTCACGTGGCCTTCTTTGTTGTGTGTCTTCACACCGTCTCATATAAGAACACCAGTCATTGAATTTAGAGCCCACCCTAATCCACTATGACCTCATCTTAACAATTTTATCTACAAAAACTCTATTTCCAAAGAAGGTTGCATTCTGATGTTCCAGGTGGACAGGAATTTGCAGGGGACACTAATCAGCCCAGTTCACCCCTGTAAGAGGAAGTGCAGAGAAGCAGGTAACTGATCCATCCCAGATGGGAATGAGAAGTGTTTGGGAAATTTTAACAGAACGGAGATCATAGGTGTGGGTCTGATGGCTGGGGAGCAGGCCAGGAAGTGAGAACAGCATAAGCATGAGCACAGGTCAGGAAGGAGCAGCAGTAAGGCAAAGCAGGAAAAGACAGTGATGGAACTGGAAAAGTACACTAGACCAAATCTTAAAAGACCTCATATTGTGCAAAGGAGCTAGGCTTTCCCACACAGACAATGGGGAATTTTGGCCCACCTTGCCCAGTGGTGAACCCTTCTTCCCTTTCATGATTCCATTCAGTTGTCTCTTTGGGAAACCCTTCCCCAAGCTTCTCAAAAGCAGTTCGATCTGTCCTCCCAGGTCCCTAGGGCCCCTTATACCATGCCCATTGCCTCACAAATCATTCTGCATTATGACTTGCTCTCCAAACTGTCCCCCCATTACAGTGGGAGCTATTAAATGTTGAGGAAGAACCACATCTTGTTCATCTGTGCATATCCAGAGCTGAGCGCAGGTTGGAACATAACATGTGTCAAGTACTTAAAAAATGTTTAATTAGTTAGCTGAACGGTCAGTCAGAGACTTTAAGCAGGGGAGTAACTTTCAAATAGTTGGAACCGATATTCATAACTTCTGGTATCCAAAGGGGCGCCTATTAAAATCAGGTTCCTGGGACTCCTAGGTGGCTCAGTCAGTTAAGCATCCAACTCTTGGTTTCAGCTCATGTTCTGATCTCAGGGTCATGAGATTGAGCCCCATGTTGGGAGATCAAACCCCATGTCGGTCTCTGCACTCAGTGTGGAGTCCGCTTGAGATTCTTTCCCTCTCCCTCCCCTCCCCCCACTCACGCTGGCTCATTTATGCTCTCTCTCTCTCTCTCAAATAAAAAAATAAAATTTTTAAAAATTTTTTAAATAAAAAATAAAAATAAATAAATAAAACCAGATTCCTAAACAGGAATGTTCTTTACAGGTGACTTTTGCACAGAACAGAACTAAACGTCAGCATCCCACCAGGAAAGCTTGCTTCTCTGACCCTCCCCCCTCTGTGAAACGGGGCTCTCACTACCTCATTTGTTTATATTCAATCTCACTAAACTTGCACTGAGCGGTGCCTTCTGGGTTGTTTTACTAGGCAGCTGCTCTTGTTCATATCTACACCGATGGCTCTGTATTGGTCACACATGGAGGCAACGAACTGGGACAAGGTATTCACACCAAAATGCTGCAGGTAAGCTGCATAAAATTAAATTGTTAATCTCTCTATACATTGTTGACATGCCTGACATTTGGCACTAATTTTAGGGGAGATGATCAAACCCTAAGATCTTGACTATTTGGTTGAAAAACTTCTTCCATATCAAATGGAATGTCTGAGGTAGCAGAAATCCCACGTATGTACAGTCCTAGAGCATGGCCAGGCTTTATGGGTGGAAGTGGTTGTTAGTGAAAACACCACTAATGAGCCCCTGGAGCGCTGTGGTAGGTGCCCCATGCAGACTTTACCTAGAGTACGAGTTTCTCAGCTTTTCTATTTTGAGACCAGTATGCATGATTTCTAAAGTTTGGACAACATTAGGTTGCTAATATACATTTTGGACAAGTAAGAACAAGTAAGTCATCAACTGTCATCATGCTATAATTTTTAAAGTATATTTTAACACACACACATACATACGCATGAAGTAGGAAGATATGATCTCAAGAGGAAAAAAAGAAGAATCCTTTAAATTGAATAAATTTCACTATGACAAATTTATTAGATTATTATAGTACACATCTGCAGCTTTTGACTATCCAGCCCCTTAACTCCTTTGGAATACACCCCCTACATTCCATAGAGTCCTAAAGGACTCCTCAGTTCTGGTACCTTTTAGCCCCATTTCCCTCCTTTCCCCAACTCCTGCCACAGATAGAGGCACAGATGCCAGGCCTAGCTAGTCATGGCTCCTGAACCCACTGGCTGCAGGGATGGGTCCAGGGGGAAGGCACAGGACCATGATCCTTTCCTGGGACTGATGTGTAGATGCTGACAGAGAAGAACTAGCATTCCCCTACAGCTGCTGAGCTCCTCTGCTATAAGTCAGGGGTTGTCAGAGGCAATTTTCCTGTGCCATCGAGGAAGCATGCCTATTCTTGGAAATAACATAGCCATCGTAGGAAGAAAAGCAAATGTGAGAGGCAGCGAGAGGTCGCTGATGAGACCAGAAAGACTTAGATGCAGATATATGTGACACAGTCTCCACTTGTCCTTCCCATGTAGGGGACCCAATATATTCCCTTTGGCTCTTCATCACCGAGAACCAATAAAATTGTCCTTTTTTTTTTTCATTTTGCCTCTTTCTGGGGTAACTTAATCTTACAGCAGCATTACTCTCTAGATTAGCACTTGGGAACAAGTCCATAACCGTAGACATCTGGAGAAAGAGTTTTTGCCAAAACTAAAAGACAAAAGAAACCAAAATAATGCTTTTTCTCTTCCTTCCTTCCTTCCCTCCCTTTCTTTCTCTCTTTTTCATTCTCTGTGATTAAATATCTTTCTTTCCACGTGTCTGCTAGAGAGACTGGAAGAAAAAGAACAGAAAAGAAAACAGTGAACGGCAAATACTAGAGGAGTATAAACAGGAGGGAACAAATAGAAGACAAGGGGGAGAATCCAAAGATAAGGTGGGATGAGGGCAAGAGCGAAGATAGGCCCTCAGGGTCATTTGAAATTCATCGGATGCTCATACCAACAGATTTAAGACCAACCTTTGAACCAGTCCATCCGTTCTCTCTCTTCCTGCCAATGCCACCAAATAAAACTCAGAAACAAAGGAAATCCTTCACATCCTAAACTCACTAAGTTTGAATGGAAGAACCATTATGGAATCTTACCAAGAAAACACTTTAAAAATCAGCATGAGGCTCTACTAAGAAGTGGTTTTCATTTTTTTAAGACACATTATTTTAGGCTTTCAAGGATTTCATGGATGTAATAAAAATGGTAGTGTTTTATAATTTAAAAAAATGACTCAACTCTTCCTAGAAATCTTTGCCGGACTTGAAAATGTTTATTTTTCACATACGTGGCCAGCTGTGAATTAAAAATACCCATGTCTTCTATGCACATCTGTGAAACAAGTACGGCCATGGTGCCCAACACCATTGCTACAGCAGCTTCCATTGGTTCGGATGTCAATGGCAGGGCTGTGCAGGTGCTGTCCCCTGTCTTTCCCTTCCACACTTTTTCCATATTGCTGGTTTGCTTAGCTGGATACAGACACAAGCAGTTGGCTTCAGAGAAGTCATCTGTGGCAGTAAACATAGTCTCAGGATAACCAAAATGTCAGGAGAGTGTGCTAGTTTGAGTAGGCTAAACTGAGGTGACACATAGACACATAGTATACAGTGCCTCAAACACCACAAAAGTCCCATCCTTGCACACGTAATGGTCCAGAGGGAGCTTTCATCATTAGAGTACCCTGAGATTAATGGCAATTCCTCCACCTTCAACATGTGGCTTTCAAGCCTGCCCTGAGCATCATCATCAGGGAAAAAGCATGGAGGTCAGACCTGGAAGTGATGCAAGTCACTTCTACTAATCATCCACCAGCAGAACAAGTCTCGGGCCATGTCTAAGTGCAAGGGAGGTTGGGAAAATGTGGAGGAGTACACCACAGGCCCAGCTACTATGGAACAAGGGGAGAATGGAGTTTGGTGAATAAACAGTCTCTGTCGCTGGGAGACAAAGAAGAAATCTGGGTACCAAGTAATGCAGAGCTGGGCAAGTCTCTGACACAAACAAGTTCTTGCAGGCAGGTAAGCAGGCAGAACGCCATCCCAGTAGATCTGGTTCAATTAAAGTGTTTCCGTCAGTGCAATTCAACCACAGCACTCATGCCTATCCTTTGTATTTATTTTCTAACTGATATTTTTTAAAAACTGCTAAATTTTCACTTTTTCAGAATAGACTATGACTCCCATATTCCTTAATTCAGAGATCTGATCACATGTACTTTTTTTTAAGATTTTATTTTTTTATTTGATAGAGACAGCGAGAGAGGGAACGCAAGCAGGGGGAGTGAGAGAGGGAGAAGCAGGTTTCCTACTGAGCAGGGAGCCCGATGCGGGGCTCGATCCCAGGACCCTGGGACCATGACCTGAGCCGAAGACAGACAATAACTGAGCCACCAAGGCACCCCTGATCGCATGTACTTTTGAAGTGATGTCATGTTTCTGTTATAAACTGTCCACCTTTTCCATTGGGATGTTGTGGAAAGTCATATTCTCAGAACACTGCACTTATGCTACCAAAAGGAACCACTTTCAAATCCATCTGATCTTCACAGAGACACTTGTTAAGGGCTCTTTCACTCAGAACAAATCTGTAGGAAACTTCAAATTCTTGAGACCCAGTTTTGGGTAGGATCAAACACAAGATAGGAATAGCTCAGTGCGTATGGGGGTTTTCAACCCAAACTAAGTATTAACCCATCTTCTAAAGCTTTATGTTTCTGTGTTAAGGATCGGAAACCTTGCGGATCTAGATTATTATAAAGACAAATTTAATTATCTTCTCACTCCACACACAAAACCAAGGCCTTAATTACAGTACTTTGATGGTGGACGGATAAACAGATGGCAGGATGGACAGAGAGTTGAATAATATTTCAGGCCTACGGGAATATTGGCATGTTATTGTTGCAGACTGGAAAGCACAAATTAGAATGAAAATAAGATGTTTTTTTCCTTTAATTTTCATGGCTGGAAAATACAAAAGAAGGTGTAAGTTAAAAATGTAGAAAAAGAAAAGGAATTAAGAGCACAACTAGAAAGGGGACCTGAAAGTAGAAATTCAGCTGAGCCCGTATTTTCATAGGAAATGAACCAGGGAGGTTTAAAAAACAAAAAACAAACAAACAAACAAACAAAAAAACCTGCAGTAACTGATACTTTCAAGGTCAGGGACTGTGTTGTTATTGTCTCTGTGTTCCCAATGTATCAGTATCAAGCACTCCATAAACATTCACCAACATAATCAATTATCAATTACTATTCTTCCACACAAATCCCAACCACCGGGCTCTTCTCTAATGAGGCTTCATTTCTTTACCCCTTCAAGAACGCTTGTCAGATCCTTCTGAAACGCCTTGAGCCCATCATTAAGAAAAATCCAGAAGGTACATGGGAAGACTGGGTAAGTGTTCCACTCTGTGATGACAAATGAGAAAACACTCCAAAGCAGGGCCGAGAGCATCACGGCAGCATACAACCCCCACCACACACAGAGAGTTTTCCTAAGAATGGACTTCTACAAAAGGGCAGGATCATGAAAGGCTGAGACAGCTTCTCCATGCTGTATACCAGGTACATGTGTGAGAGAGTGCCCAGGGAACAGCATCACTGAGAGGAGGAACGGAAACGTATGAAGAACACCTAGAAGGCCTTACCCATTCCGTTTAAATAAGAAGAGGAAGAGACTTAGTCTTCCTAAGCCATAAGAAAAAAAAATTGTTGTTTTAAATGGCACGGAGGAAAACCAAAAGGCCTAATTGCCATTAAACATGTCTCAAAGGAAATTACTCATCTAATCCAACTTTACAACATCCTTTATCTTATCTCATTAGAACAGTTCTCTCATGCACACACGCTTATCTAGAGTTCTAACACTGAGAAACGAAGCCCTAAAAATACCTTGTGAACTCAGCCCCTACATCATGGTTGTGCAGCAGGAATCTATTTTATTTGTTTAATTCAGACATCTCAACCCAGTCAGAAGGAAACTGTTAGTGTACCAGCTGTGGAAAAAAAATATTACAATTAGTTCCATTATTGGTAACAAAGCACCAGCAACAATTATCAGATGTCAGTTTTGATATAGGGAATATTTTCATTTTCACCTCTCAGATAATGTATCTGTTTTCTTCTGACTAAATATGCCCATTCTGCAGATAAAAAGCTGCTTTTGAACAAAGAATCAGTCTTTCGGCCACTGGATATTTCAGGTAAAAATTACAATAATGTCTGGGCTTAGCTGAGAAAATATAAGGTAACCCAATTGCTCTGGGCCTTAGGTCCCTTATTTGTAAAACAGGTTTTTATTATGTGATCAATGAGGTCCCTTCTAAGCCTAAAATTATATGATTTTATGTAAGCCTTTGAACTATGTCCAGAGAAATACTAAATAATAAAAATACCCTTATTCGGTAAAAAAAAAAAATTTAACATGACTTAGAACATCTGATCATCATTTACTATTCATTGTTGAGTAGTAAAAAAATAGCATCATTAGAAACAACTTCCAACTCAGTTTTACAAATCTCCCTCCCTTTACCATAAAACCTTTCTGTTTTGAAGCTCCTCTCTGGGCCGGAAGAGATGCGTAGGATAATCACCAATCCTCATTTGCGCAGTTTCTGTCAGTGGGAGGCCCTCAGTCAATTCATGTTCATTGAATGAAGCACAAAGAGGAGAACTGATTGTCAAGTTCAGGAAGTGTATGACATCACTTTTATAATCTAGTGAAACAAATCACCAAACTAAACACACACATGCACAGAGAAAGAAAACACTAAAGCAATTTTTTTATGAAGGAAGGAAGGAAGGAATGAGGAAGGTAACAGGCCCAGTCCAGTGCCCTGTACTTAATGAGCTCTAAATTTCTGAGTTCAATTACCCAAGAAGAGAGCAAATCAGCCCTCTAGCCAGGTACATCTTCCATTGTACATTAATGCATTGAATGAAGTGCCCTTTTTCACCATCCCTGAATTATCATCACTTCCCCAGTTAGCACAGTCTAGGGGGTCCCTTTGGGAATGCTGATAAAATCGATTGAGGTTCTCAATCCACAGAGCTAAAGCTCAAACCCTAAACCATGGATACAGACACACTGGGAGGTCCAGACCAAAACAGTCTATTGGATTCTCTCTCTTTTTGTCATCCTAACTGTAGCACAAAGAGTGTCCTCTTTAAATGGAGGCCCATGATAGTGTTGCTGTAATTAGCTAGGTTGGAAATACAAGTAGCAGTTTAAATGAGTTTAAAAAGCAGTTGAAATAAGTATCAATAAAAAATACTATCATAATAACTTTTAAAATGAGTCAACATTGTTTGCAACCCCTCCACCACCACCACCACCACCACCACCCCAAGCTAATGGGCTTTCTTTCTTCCATTAGGGGCTACAAGGCTTTCATGGACTGGGAGAAGGGAGGAGACCCTTTTCCGTACTATGTCTATGGAGCAGCCTGTTCCGAGGTTGAAACTGACTGCCTGACAGGAGATCACAAGGTAAGCCAAATATAACTGTCCTCTTGGCAAATTAAAACAACAACCACAAAATTGTGTTGTATGATAAATAGCCCAATTTCATTATGTAATACTTGTACAATAAGAACAGGATTTTTTCAGTTCCTTGGGAATGTCTAGAGATCCAACCTCATGCTGAATTTCCACTTAAGAAGTCGTCAAGAAGGAATTGCTCCTAACAGTGGTCAGTGGTTGCCAGAGGTGGGGGGTAGGGGCTTAGATGAAAACAGTGGAGGGGGTCAAAAGGTACAGTTATAAAATAATTAAGTCATGGGAATATAAGGTACAATATAGAGACCATAGTTAATAATACTGTATTGCACATTTGAAAGTTGCTAACAGAGTAGATCTTAAAAGTCCTCATCTCATGAAAAAAGATTTTTTTTAACCATGTGTGGTAATGGTAACTACATTAACTAGACTTATTGTGATAGTCATTTTACATACAAATATCAAATCGTTATGTTGTATACCAAAACTAATATGTTATATGTCAATTATATCTCAATTAAAAATTAATTTAATTTTTTAAAAAATTTTAAAGAAGTAGTCAAAAAAGAATTGTTCATGACAGCCTAAAATGCATTGTTTTTTATTCCATTTCAGACAATAAAGTTGCTTTGCAAAGTTTTTGCCAAGAAAAAAGGGGTCTGTTCCTAAAGCAAGGTCAAGTTATCTAATCCTGAAGGAATAGGTCATTTAGTAAATTGTCTTGAGTAAACATCTGAGAGAACATAACAATGTGATGTTTCTCTGAAGTCAGTTATCCCAAGGGTACTACTGTCCCTAACAAAATAGATGGGGGAGGGGTGTGAAAATAATTTCTATGTTTACTACTTAATCAAGCATCCTACTGGAGGCAGGGAATCATATTTAATCAAAAGCTAACAACTTCCAAAAAAAAAAAGTTAACATCCACCATAAAAGGTAAACCATGAATATACCTCAGATATCATTCTCAGAATAGAGAAATTACAGAAACCTTAAATAGAATATAGTATATCCAGTAAGAAACTCTTAACTATAGGAAACAAACTGAAGGTTGCTGGAGGGGAGAGAGGTGGGGGGATTGGGTAACTGGGTGATGGGCATTAAGGAGGGCTTGTGATGTAATGAGCACTGGGTGTTATATGCAACTAATGAATCCCTAAACTCTACATCTGAAACTAATGATACACTATATGTTAACTAATTGAATTTAAATAAAATAAGTTATAAAAAATATATAGAATATCCAAAGCATAGTAATTGTTAGGAAATTTACAGAATGGACCAATGACACATCTAAATTCCATATACAGATTATTCCAACATCATCTTGAACCATCTTAGCTGAAACTAGAAATGATCAATTTATATAAAATAGGAAGGAATTTGCAAATACTGACTTGGAAATCTTATCAAAATGTCTTTTATTGCCCCAATGTTAGTAAATTTGTCCGTAACTTAAATTTTATATAAATAAGATAGAAAATACAGTAAATGAAGAGATGTCTGGAGAGCAGTCACCCTCACATTCCACTTGAGTTCATCCTTAGGATACGTTATATCCCCATTTTCACTCTAGATCATTGTGAAGAAGTAAACCCATGAAAATAGGAAAAAATTGTTCATATAATTATTTTAAAACTGTGTTTCCTAATGCTTTTCACATCGTGGTACATATACATAATGATAATATTTGCACAGCACATTTACAAACAAGGACCTCATGTTGGCAGGTAACCAGCCTGAGAATCCTGCCCCAGACCCCACAGAAGTCCAAGTGTCAGGGTCCTGACACACCTGTAACCCATTCAAGGCTCCACACTCAGTGGAAAGCTGTTTTTAAACTTTTTTTTTTTTAAGATGTTATTTATTTGAAGGAGAGCGAGTGAGCGAGCATGAGCAGAGGCGGGGGCAGAAGGTGAGGGAGAAGCAGACTCCCCGCGGAGCAGGGAGCCTGATGTGGGGCTCGATTCCACGATCCTGGGATCATGACCTGAGCTAAAGGCAGATGCTTAACTGACTGAGCCACCCAGGTGTCCCTGGAAAGCTGTTTTTAGAAATCAACTAATTTTTCTGATCCTCCACCCTGAAGGTGGTATTGCCAGATTTGTAGCTCACAAATAAAAATACAGGATGGCTTATGTACCCCAATGTTCATAGCAACAATGTCCGCAACAGCCAAACTGTGGAAAGAGCTGAGATGCCCTTCAACAGATGAATGGATAAAGAAGATGTGGTCCATACATACAATGGAATATTACTCAGCCATCAGAAGGGATGAATACCCAACTTTTACATCAACATGGATGGGACTGGAGGACATTATGCTAAGTGAAATAAGTCAAGCAGAGAAAGTCAATTATCATATGGTTTCATTTATTTGTGGAACATAAGGAAGAGCATGGAGGACATTAGGAGAAGGAAGGGAAAAATGGGGGGGAATCGGAGGGAGAGATGAACCATGAGAGACTATGGACTCCGAGAAATAAACAGGGTTTTAGAGGGGAGGGGGGAGGGGGGATGGGTTAGCCCGGTGGTGGGTATTAAGGAGGGCATGTACTGCATGGAGCACTGGGTGTTATACGAAAACAATGGATCGTGGATCACCACATCAAAAACTAATGATGTATTGTACGGTGACTAACATAATAAAATTTAAAAAAAAAAGAGGATGTTGAGCTGGCTTCACATCTTCTTAAAACAAAAGTCAGATATTCCTTGACTTATGTCATACAGGTCTATATGGGCCCCTATAATGTGAGAAGGCTTAGAAATTAATTAAATAATTATTTTAAAAAATAAGGATGGCTGGTTAAATTTGAATTTCAGATAAACAACAAATAAATTTCTGGTATAAATATGCTTACTGCAGCATTGGGGACATACTTATTTTATCTGGCAATTCTATCTGAGGGCCTTGGTATAAATCCCTGAAGAAACAAATCTCACAGGGATATTCCACAATTTATGGTACCAGTAAAGTTAAAATCTGGTTGTCCCTGTGCCTTCCTTATTACTGGCTAAGGTTCAGTCACTGTGGTATCACTTCAACCCTTGAAATAGTTTATTCCTTGAAGAGGCAAAACTTCTTTTAACTAAAGGGAAATCAGAGAAATTAAATGACAGGCCTATTGCTGCTGGGCACTTGTGGATACTGAGTCAAAACGTGTCCCATTACTGCACAGCCATCTCTTCCCACTGTCCAACACCCTTAATGCAAAATATACCCATTTTCAAGGTGGGAATAAATCCAAGGCCCACTCTGAGGTGTGTCCAACCTCCTGCCCTATCTGTTGAGAATAAATGAAGGCTGGTCCCAATGCCCATAGAAGGTTGTCTGAAAGGTCAACATTTGAGTCAAAAGAGAACTGTCAACCCAAAGGACCAGATGGAAAGGAGGAGCCCAGCTAGTAAGCCTAAACGGAGAATGCTGATGTTGTCAGAAAAAGCACAGGACATGGGGGCAGAAGGAAAGCCCAGAGATATTCCCGAGATAGACCACTGGCACGCATGGGCTTTCTGTGGCTCCTTAACAAACCGACTGCACGAGCCCCGTGCCAAAACATAAGGGCCAAATTAGTGTGATGTTTCTCAGGGAAGGAAAGAGATTAGCATAGTCAAAGGTAGTCTCAACATTTTCCCTTCATATGTTCCAAGATCTTTCAAATCTCCATTTGATACATGCCACTATGGCTACATGATTTCCTCTGTAAATCAGCAATAATACCACCTCCATCAAATCATCATGAGGACTTGATGAGCTCATGAGTTGTAGCAGAACAACAAATCCAGGTGTAGAATCACTGGAGTCACTTAAGAGAAGTCAAACCAGGGGCGCCTGGGTGGCTCAGTCGTTAAGCGTCTGCCTTCGGCTCAGGTTATGATCCCAGGGTCCTGGGATTGAGCCCCGCGTTGGGCTCCCCGCTCAGGGGGAAACCTGCTTCTCCCTCTCCCACTCCCTCTGCTTGTGTTCCTTCTCTCACTGTGTTTCTCTCTGTCAAATAAATACATAAATAAAATCTTTAAAAAAGAGAGAGAGAAGTCAAACCAAGATTACGTAAGATCTCCTGGGGTCACTGCCAGTCCTAGCACTAAAGTGGAAAAGTTTGGCAGATTTCTTACCACCTCTGATACTGATGAGGTGCAATGCAGTGTTAATTATCCAGCAAGAGTTCTGGAATAACTGGAGACCTTTTAAATAAATCTTAAGATAATCTTTTTAATTCAAGTTTTTATGGTGAAATATTTTCATTTTTGGCAGAAAATCAGAACAGACATCATCATGGATACATGTTGCAGCCTAAATCCCGCCATTGATATTGGGCAGGTAGGTGCTGGCCCACGGAGATGGATGCCACTTCCCGAAAGTCATTGTGGGGAGGCTAAGTACGTCTAAAGAGCATACAGCCTCACAGAGCTTGACATTTTCCCCTTTCAGGTTGAAGTTTCCTTTATTCAGGGAATGGGCCTTTATACCACTGAAGAGCTGAAATATTCCCCAGAAGGTGTTCTGTACTCTCGAGGCCCAGATGAGTACAAAATTCCAACCGTCACTGATGTCCCAGAGGAATTCAATGTCTCCCTGTTGCCATCATCACAAACCCCACCAACCATCTATTCATCCAAGGTAAGCACTCAAACCTACTGCTATGCAATGTGATCTATCAAGTAGCATGGTAAATGAAAGCAGGTAGACAAAATAATAATAATAATAATGTCAACCTTTATCAGGACCAAATTACAAGAGACTGTAGAATTTGGAGAAGAATCACCTAGAGAAAAGTGAGATTCACAGAGGATAAGTGATCTCTGCCTAATGGCCATCCTTGGCCAAGGTCTTTATTTATTAGTATCTTCTTTCACTGGAAACGCTAAAATTTGGTGCAAAGTTCTGATTTGATAGAATAATATTTTCAGGGCGCCTGGGTGGCTCAGTCACTGAGCGTCTGCCTTCGGCTCGGGTCATGATCCCAGGGTCCTGGGATCGAGTCCCACATCAGGCTCCCTGCTCAGCTGGAGACCCGCTTCTCCCTCTCCCACTCCCCCTGCTTGTGTTCCTGCTCTCACTGTGTCTCTCTGTCAAATAAATAAATAAAATCCTTAAAAAAAAAAAAAGAATAATATTTTCACTTAAGAACCTTAAGACTAAAATATTAAAAGTGATTGAAGGCTCATTGATACTACTAAAATCTTAGGAAGAAGTGGCAGCTTGGGAAGAATCCTAGACCGGGCCTCAGTGGACCTGGGTTCTTAGCCTAGCCTCGCCAGCTCCATGTGATCATAGATGAATCACTCACCTCTTGGGGGCTCAGGGTCCTCATCCATACCCATAAATGGATCCAGAACAATGGTTCTCAACTGGTCCCCAGGGTACATTTGGCAATGTACCTGGAGATATATCTGGTTATCACAACTGCGGTTGTGGAAGGAGGAGATGTTCCTAGTCTGGGTAGAGAGGCCAGGGACGCTGCTAAATAGCCTTCAGTGCACAAGACAGCCCCCCAACAAAGAATTATCTGGCCCAAAATGTCAATGGTGTCAGGAAGCAAAGACACAAACCGTTAGTAATTGCTAAAGTAGTGGAGTTGCAAATGAAAATAAAGGTCAGATTGGGGAGGGCATGTGCTACGGTGAGCGCTGTGAATTGTGCAAGACCGTTGAATCACAGATCTGTACTTCTGAAACAAATAACGCAACATATTTTAAGAAAAAAGAAGGGGAAGAAGATAGCAGGAGAGGAAGAAAGGGGGAGTATGTCGGAGGGGGAGACGAACCATGAGAGACGGTGGACTCTGAAAAACAAACTGAGGGTTCTAGAGGGGAGGGGGGGAGGGGGATGGGTTATCCTGGTGATGGGTATTGAGGAGGGCACGTTCTGCATGGAGCACTGGGTGTTATGAACAAACAATGAATCATGGAACACTGCACCAAAAACTAATGATGTAATATATGGTGATTAACATAACAATAAAAATTAAAAAAAAAAGAAAAGAAAGGTCAGCATTTATTGTCATTGCTGTACGCAGATTATGTGAAAATCACTCTGAGTAGAAACTTTCTTTAGGTTTGAGATGTATTGTTAAAATTTTCTTTTAAGTCTTTTAGGAGACTTCTTACTAGGGGTGATGAATTGATATAAGAGAAAATGAGTTCATTTATATCTGCTGGAATGTTATCATTTCCAAACTGGAGGCCAGTGTCAGCCCAGGAACTTTCCCTGGGCATACGGTGATGGAATTGGAGGGTGGAGAGGTGTGGGGGTGCAAATTTGAAAGGAAGGACAATCAGCATCCCCTGTGGGTTCTCATTAGGCTGGAAATCACTCAAAGAGCAGCATTCAAGCCACCAAGAACAATGGGACAGGCAGGACCTGAGTCCTATGGTTGTGACCAGCCACTCATAAGCAGACCCTGAGGAAAATCATGGGTTTACAGGTGCCCCATAGAGTATATTCTGTAATAATAACAGGGACCTACCGAGTACCAGGCACTGTGCTAGGAGCTTTTGCACTTGCTAAACTTTACAACACCCTGTAGCATAGATATCATTGCCTGAATTTCACTGATAAAGGAACAGAGGCTCAGAGAGATAATCTCACCCAGAGAAACAGAGGGAGTAAGGGCCAGGTTTCAAACTCCACGTCTCTAGCTTAGGGTTGCAAATTGGGGGCCCACTGGCTGAATCTAGGCTACAGATGTGTTTTCTGTGACCCACACAGTGTTTTTAAAAATCAGGGAATTGTAGGGGTGTCTGGGTGGCTCAGTCAGTTAAGTGTCTGCCTTCAGCTCAGGTCATGATCTCAGGGTCCTGGGATCGAGCCCTGCATTGGGCTCCACATTCAACAGGGAGTCTGCTTGAGATTCTCTCTCTCCCTCTCCCTCTCCTTCTCCTCCTCTCTCTCTCAAATAAATAAGTCTTAAAAAATCAGGGAATTGTACATTAAAATAAGAATATCTAAATTCCCTTGAAAAATTGGATGATCTGGTAATTTTGGCTACATTTTTAGAAGACACCAATGGCCCCTTTAGACAGGACATGGAGGTATCTCTACTTCACCATAATTCCCACTTTTCTTTGCTGTCCTTCAACTGCCCACATCCTCTCATTTATATTACCTGATTGTTCCTGGCAGATGATGGGCTTGCAACTCATCATCTGGTACCCAAGTCTGTACTCTTTTAGAGTACCCTACCTCCCCTGATGCTGGAGTCATAACGAGGCATTTTTCTCTCTGCTCATGAAGTTAACCATTGAATGTGCTTCCCTAAGTAGGATATCACACAGGGTGCCTGGGTGGCTCAGTCAGTTAAGTGTCTTCAGTTCATGATCCCAGGGTCCTGGAACTGAGTCCTACATCGGGCTCCCTGCTCTGCAGGCAGCCTGCTTCTCCCTCTGCTCCCTCCTTCTCTATCTCTGTCTCTCATGAATAAATAAATAAAATCTTAAATTAATAAATAAATAAATAAATAAATAATAAGATGCCCCCCCCAACACACACACACACGCACACATGTGCGTGTGCATCCACCTTTCCTATAGAACAAAGATTTAACCTAGATGGCATTACCGATATGGGAAGTTCAGGTGGTGTTGCAATTTTTAAGAGTACTCAAGCTTCATTCAGTCAATAAGTTACTGAACAAATTATTGTGAGCAAGACACTGTGCTAGGAGTTAGGGATACAATGGTGAATAAAGACCTGGGTCCTGAAATATAGTAGCTTGTAATCTAGTATAGAAGATTCTAAAACAAATGTGCTTTTTTGCAGGGCCTGGGGGAGTCCGGGATGTTCCTGGGCTCATCTGTGTTCTTTGCCATCACTGACGCGGTGGCCGCAGCACGCAGGGAAAGAGACATAGCTGAGGACTTCACAGTGAGGAGCCCAGCAACGCCAGAATGGGTTCGAATGGCTTGTGCAGATCGGTTCACAGAGATGGTATGGAATTATTGATTATTTTCCTAAAAGGTGGCTTTTCTATCTCTTGTTTCTTAGACCTCTAAGGTAAATTCATAACCTAATCTGATCAAATTACAAGGTCAAATTATAAAATGTAAGCTTATCAAAGTATTAAGAGGCGGGGCGCCTGGGTGGCTCAGTTGGTTAAGCGTCTGCCTTCGGCTCAGGTCATGATCCCAGCGTCCTGGAATCGAACCCCACATCGGGCTCCCTGCTCAGCGGAGAGCCTGCTTCTCCCTCTGCCTCTGCCTGCCTCTCTGCCTACTTGGACTCTCTCTCTATCTCTCTGTCAAATAAATAAATAAATAAAATCTTTTAATTAAAAAAACAAAGTATTAAGAGGCTAAAAATAAATCACACAAATACCTTGTGTATATGTAGCAATTCTAAATTTTTAAAAAGCATTTCTACATCTGTTATTTAATTTGATTGTCTCGGCAACCCTGAAGCAGGATGATTTATCATGCTTCAAAAACTAATAGCTAAATATGAAACAACTGGATGATTTCACTGAACCATTTTATTTCCTCCCTCTATCCTACCTAACCTACTCTTCAAGAAAAACAAACACAGAAAATAATCCATGTATCATGTAGCTGTATTTGATAATATACTGTCCGTGTTCCCAATACAAACGCAGAGTACACAATCTACCTTTCCTTGAGAAGAACGGGATCTTATTACCAGCTGCCGCTCTTCCACTTCATGACAACGCCCCCCAGCCCAGGAGAGGGATGACTGGGAGTCACCTGCTAGATGCCCACGCACGCAGCAATCCCAGCCTGCTGAATGCTGTAGTGTCGCCACCTCGGGGAGGTCACTGAGTCTGCCTGTGCCCGTTTCCTCATAGCATGCTAATATATACATTAACACTCGGTAGCGTTGATTGAGCACCGTCCTAGATATTTTACACAGATTATCTCATGAGTCACTACTCTAACTCTGTCAGGTAACTGGTATTATTTTCTTCATTTTACTATTGAGGAAACTTGGCCCAAAGTCAAGACTCAAACCCAGACCATCTGGCTCCAGTATAGTATATTGCCTCTTAGAGAGAAAAGAATTGATTCTCTACCTCTTAAAGGAAATTTGTGTTTTCAGATCTATACTGAAAGAAGCCTAAATACTTAAATGACCTCTCCAAAACATCCAGCCATAGAGTGAAAGAATAATGTGACCCAGGATTTGGGAATACTGCTCAAAGGGAAATGTCATCATAGCACATTTCCTTCCCTTACATGATCCAGCCCTCTTCCCATCTCCAAACCTGACTCAACATTGCTTGTTCTCCAGTCATACCAACCACCCCCTCTTTCCCACCAAGGGTCCCAGCAATAGCTCTGCCCTCCCAGGCGGCCCGTCACCTGACTGTGCTGTCCACAGAAGGTTTACTATCACCTACCTCAGGTCAGTCCTGCCCAGTTGGCCGCGGTCAGGGAACCAGCACTCCTCCACTGCAGGGACCCCTTCCCAGGACTGAGTTGGGCCTAGAGGGCCCTGTCCATCTCCTCCCAGCAACAGTGGTCACACAGGTAACTGCAGAATTGCTTGATCTCTACCCCAATGCATAAGCACTCCCAACCTTTCAAAAACTGTTCTCAGTCTTCTTTTGCAGTAATAAATATCCTTTCCCCAAATGCGGCAGCTTGGCAAAACTAAAAACATGCAGCAGCAGGTTCTAATTTTCCTTTCTTGCCCATGTTTAACTTTGTCAGTCTTCAAATGGTCTGGCTCTCAGAAAATGAATTCCTTCATTTCCAAATTTTTAGGCCATTATTAATAATTGGGTTATCTGGCAAAGTCAGTCTGTCACATGCAATGGTAAGAAGTGAACCACTTGGATTTCAATTACTATTTGGGACTCAGCCTGCCAGGTACCTTGCCCCTGGGAAGGGGCCATATTTTCTTCCAAGTCTGATGGCTTTTTGGTAAGACTAATTGAATATGTCTTTGTGGATATAAATCATGTACTAATTCGTATACCCACCAATCAAATGCTCAGGGTCAATGTAAAAGTAACTTCACATTTTCTTTTTTTTATATTTTATTTTATTTTTTAAAGATTTTATTTATTTATTTGAGAGCAAGAGAGCATGAGTGACTCTTGCAAGAGAGCACGAGTGAGAGACTGTGAGCCAGTGGGAGGGGCGGAGGGAGAGGGAGAAGCTGATACCTCACTGAGCAGGGAGCCCGATGCGGGGCTCGATCCCAGGGCCCTGGGATCATGACATGAGCTGGAGGCAGACACTTAACTGACTGAGCCACCCAGGAGTCCCTTCACATTTTCTAAAACACACCTAAATAGCACCTCATGTTATAATCTAGATTTGATATATAAACCTCATTTTAGTAACATGTATTACTTTTTATCTTCATAAAAGTAACACATGTCCATTATGGAAAAGTAAGAAAAATATTGCAAAGAATAAGATGAAAGTTAAAATCAGCCATACTCCCACTAACCAGAAATAATCATAAAAATTTTGGTATTTAGGGACACCTGGGTGGCTCAGCTGGTTAAATGTCTACCTTCTGCTCAGGTCATGATCCCAGGATCCTGGGATCCAGTCCCACACTGGGCTCCCTGCTCAGGCAGGGAGCCTGCTTCTCCCTCTGCTGGCCACTCCCCCTGCTTATGCTCTCTCTCTCTCTCTGACAAATAAATAAATAAAATCTTTTTTTAAAAATTTGGTATTTATATACATTCACACACACTTGTAATCATCTTTTAAGTCATAACTATTTATATGTACAATTTATTTACATACTCATTTTCCAAAATTGAGATATCCCTAATATAAATGTTTAAAAAGATTTGATCAGTATAATTGGGAGTGACTTCATGATGAGAGTATGGGCTTCTTCAAATTCTTGACAGTACTTCAGGGATTCAAGAGTTTCTCTGTTCTGACCTCCAGACACCCACAGCAAAAGGATAACCAGAAACCAGCCTTCAGTGGGGCCTCCCAAGGGAAGCAGAGAGGAGGAAGTCCTGACTCTTGGTTTAACAAAGAGGACCAGAAACACACGAAATGTAGATTCTGCTACTTCCTGTCACAGGACATGGCAATACTCCTCCATCTGTATTATACCACAAAGCAGGTGCCAGACATTGTTCTGGGGGCTGGCAAGTCAGAAGTGAATGAAACAGAGAGCAGCCTCTCCATTTGTGGAGCTTACTTTCTAGAAACCCGAAGTCTACCTTCCATCTCCCTAGCCTGGGTTGAAGCAGCCTCTTCACTGGCCTTCCTATACCTAGTGCAGCCAGAAAGTTGGGGTGTGACAAATAGGATCATGGCACTCTAGCATGTATGGAGGTGAGAAGGTTCCCATTGCTCTTCAGATAAAGATATAACTTTTTAACTTGCCCTGCCAAACCTATAAACCTGCAGGTCCAGCATGACCAGCCTCACCCACTTCTCCAGCTATGCATGGTACCCTACCCTGCCTTCTCGCTCCATGCTTGCCGCCTTCTGGCTGCTCCTCTTGTCAAGGACAGAGGCCTCCACCAAGCTCTGCCTTCTGTTAGGGACCATCTTCATCCTTTTCCCAGGCTAATCCCACTCACCTTTCATATTTTTAATCAAATTCAAGAAATCAATTCAATACTTTCCTTTTTGCATATTTTGAGGTACTGGGAGTATACTGCTGAACCAGACTCACAGGTACCGGCTCGCAAGTTGTTTACGGTGTAGCAGGGGAGAAAGACAAATAATTACCATGAATTGTAAGTGCTCAGCTGACTCTGGGTTATGCCTGTGAATTAATAGAACAAAACTTTTCTAACTTAGCCTTAACCTTTTCTTAAAGTCAAAGAGGTCATAGATTTGGCCCCAGCTTTGATCATTCATCATGCAATCAATCATTAATTTTTCCCTGCACCAGACACTGCTGGGGAACTAAAGAAACAGTGAGCCAGTCAATCCCTGCCCACATGGAGCTTACATTCTACTGGGGAAACCAAACAGTAAACAAGTAAACAAACACACAATATAATTTCAGGTGGTGATAAATACTATGAAGCAAAATAGAAAAATCAGGGACTAGAATGTGATGGAGAGATTATTTTAGATAATTTTTGATGGTTTATTAGAGAAATTTTCTCTAGGGCATTGACATTTGAGCTGAGGCCTGAGTGAAGTGAGGGAGCAAGCATAAAGCTGGTAATGATATGGTTAGAGAATAATTAATGCAAAAGCCCTGTGGCAGTTTCATTGGATTCAAAGTAGCATGGGACCAAGTAGCCCTCAAAAATGGCCTTACCTTGTAAGTCTCTGATATTGGTAGAAAAAACTTGTAACTAAAAGGCTGCAGTTGTTGTTCTTCCTGGCATAAAGATATCAGAAATAAAAACATGTGGGGTGCCTGGATGGCTCAGTCAATTAAGCATCTAACTCTTGATTTCAGCTTAGCTCACAGTTTCAGGGTGGTGAGATCAAGCCCCGCATCAAGCTCTGTGCTGAGTGTGGAGCCTGCTTAAGATTCTCCCTCTCCCTTTCCCTCTGCCCCTCCCACACTTGCTCTCTCTCTCTCTCTAAAATAATTAGTTAATTTATAAATAAATAAAAATAAAATTTGTGACTTACTTATCTCTACATCAGGAGGGTGAAACCTGAATAATCCTTATTCCAGCTTCCGTTGCAACTAGCGTCTATCACAATCCAGGTCTATATCTTCAGTTCTTTAGAAATTACGATTTGTTCACACGGCAGGCCTCCTAAAGTCCTCATAGCCTGGCTCCTCACACAGACCAGTCTCTTTAAAGCATCTTAGAACAAATCTGAGCCTATCAGATTTACATTTAATCAAACTACAACATGGTATTTTAACCGAAATACAGTCTACCCTTGAACAACACAGGTTTGAACTGTGCAAGTCCACTTATACCCAGATTAATACAGTACAGCGCTGTAAATGTATTTTCTCTTCCTTAAGATTTTCTTTATAACCTCTTCTTGTCTCTTACTTTATAATAAGAA